CTTTAGACATTCTAAAGCATGAACAGTTTTGAAATTCACAAAAAATGTGCAAATTTACGAATACGAAACAGCTCACACTTGAAATCTGTCGAGACGATGTCTGTGCCACACTCTTTTGCTCTAGTGGTCCTGAAGCAGCAGTGCTCGATGTAGGCGCCCTTTCGCGATAAATGCGACGCTTTAATTCATAAATGGACAGAGTCGGGAATGCACTGGGATGGCCCGAGCTCTGAGTAATATCGCTACCGCCTGTACTCACTGAAGGGATAAATGATGATGACCTTGTCCTATCGCAGCTGTCACCTCTAAATTCATTGAAAATGAATACATTTACGGAACATAGGAAAGCATAACAGCTGACAAACGACTATTTCATGAACACCCCGAACCAAAGAAGAAATTCGCTTACTTCGCAGCAACATTCGTGCCCTTCCTTTTTTTATATTCCTCCAATGACAATACTTTCTTCGTTGGCTTTTGGTTGATATGGCTGCTGTCAGAAGCTGATGTTGAAGGCAACTCAGCTTGCTTCTGTTTCTCGAAACCAAGCTCGAAATCGTTTGGAGTATGGACGAACGGCATTCCCATCAACTCACGAATAAGTGTGGAAACGTGAACTGCAGTAGGCGAGAATCAGCGACTAGCGATCATGACAAGCTTATCACATAAGCGGCACGACAGAAGTTTAACAGCAGGAACGAATCGGTCACAAATACCTGCATTTTCGACGGCCGATGATGTCACAGCACAAACCGCGTTGCCCTGTGCCTCCGTATCGCTCTTTTCACGGCAACCCTTCATTCTCTTTACTGTTGGCTCCATCCCAGTCGAGGAATCCGCGCTTTTGATTCCATCTAAAATTTAATAGCAACTAATAGTCAAAAGTGAGAGTGGATGAGATGTTGCCTGGCACTCATCAGTCTACGAAGCAGCCTAATATGCAGAAGAGCAAGCAAGCATCATTCACGCGATACACTATGCTCGATGCCAGCTGCATGCAACGCATGGTAGAACCCCGCGCACCAAAATAAATTTAAGAGGAACCTTGAGCAACCTCAGAAAAGCCCGTGATAAACTAGAAAGAAGCAATTTAGAAATGAAAAAAAAAAAAAAAAAAAAAACT